GTTTTGGGACCCCTGTCCCTTTATAAATGCAAGCAAGGGTTGAAGTGGTATCTACCGTGAGTTCTTTTCCAGACATCTGTTTTAATTGGTTTATACTCCAAACTAGATGTCTAGATTTATATTCTAACACGGCATCTGTTCCAGGCATGTCTTCCAATCTCGGCTTCTGGCAATATTCACTTATCCACATTATAAGCCCTCCCTACTTAGAACCATTTTTTAAACTAAGGCCTTTTAATAATTTGGGATGATTTCTCACAGGTTTGGTTTAATAACAGGACCCTCTCCAGCCCCCAGAGTGTGTTACTGTGGGTGATCGATATTGACGTCCAGCGCATCGCCCAGGGACTGTGGCGCACACTCTGGACAAAAGGGGATTATTTACTAAATGGTGAGTTGTGAGTTTAGTTGTACATGTTGTGGTTTATTCATGAAATTCCAGACTGTATTGAATTGAAAACCAAATCACAATATTTTTCTACAGACTGGGACATTCATCTCAGGCTAAACTGCCAAATTCCCAAAGTCCGATACGAAATGTACCTGAATCATGGACCAATCAAACCGCACAATGCTGAATATGTTCGTATAGCGTCGTCATTCTGGGTTATACAGATGGCCCCGAAAAAAGTGATTGATGGTAAAAAATGGATGATTGATGACTAGGGGCAGTCAGGGTTGATTTTGTTCACAGATGAAGTGAGACGTCACCAATAAAGGGAAAAAAGGAAAGCTAATTTTTATGTTATATATTTTATAAATATTGTTTATTAATATATAATTTTTTTATTTTTTTTTACTTTCTCTTGGTTACTTTTGCTCTCTTGACCTGTAAACCAAATTATGGAACCTCTCAGTGTCCTGCCAAATAAATACATAGTATTATATTAAGGAGATATTTTGCAGCACACTGATTGGCCCATTTTCGCTCCCTTGTTTGCTCTTATGGTTCGATTTCCGAATCGGACTCTTGGTATTAACATTCGGAAAAATTTTGGTTCTCCTGAAAAATTTTCTACTTTCTGGAAATTGGTTTGGTCCAGCTGGATTTTCTCACTGTCCTCTAGTCTACTTTTCCAATGAGTTATTTTGTGATCTTTTTTCAGTTCACTGGAATTCAGTGTTTAGTGAATGAACACTTGTGTTTTTTTTTGTTTTTTTTTATCAACTCGATCACTCGCTTTACCCCTCATCCTTTTCTGCCAAAGGGATTCAGTCCACAACATCTTCAGCATCAGTGCTAAGTTAGGGTACCACCCATTGGGTGGTCAGTAATGTCATGGAGACCACCAATTGGCAAAGCATTATGGTAGTTGTAGTTTTAGAAAACTGAGTAAAGAGTGAATCAAAAGTCACAAACCACCCAACTGTCTATTAGAAGGTTCATTTTATATTCATCTCGCAATTGTTTAACAAACATTATGGATCTAGAAAGATATGGCTGCAGTCCTGCTTTTTTGGCAAGCTGTTTTCAAGTGGTTTTGGAAAAACCAGGAGGTTTCAGCATCTCGAAAAATGACACATTTTCACTAGGAGTGTTCGATTCTTCATTACCTGTATACAATATCGCACTGAAAGGCTGTGAACTCTGGGGTGTAGGAGTATTTGACAGCTTAGAATCGATGTAGGCATCCTGTTCAGCCAAATCGCTTCTGACCTTTCAGGGTCCCATTGCAAATTTGGATGAGTCCTCGCTCCATACAAATATTTAGAACACAGAGCGAGAAATGTTCTCATTATGCTGTTTGGAGCAGAAGGGCTATGATTTGGATGCCAGAAAATCTATGGTTTCTGTCAAACAAACAATTTCTTATTTGCATGAGCCGTTTGAATAGTGCCGTGGAGTATGTAGCATTGCTGGGGTTTATTCACTAAACACCGTCTTGTAGCGAATTGGAAGCACAAATTCAACATTTTAGTCCAAATCCCCAAAATAACCAAACTGTGCCTATAGTTGCGTTGAATTTGAATTATTTTTCACAATTCAGTATTTAGGGAATAAACTGACAATAAATAACTCACTGATATGATGGTAACGTTCTGAACTCTTGCCTCTCTGAGTGCTATTTGCAAGCAGCGCCTGCACAGATAAAATTCAAACACGTCATAGAATAAAAGCACGCACCAAGCACATGCACCTCAGTGAAATACAGGTTCAGTATTAATGGGAGAGCCTATTCACGAAAGCAGGAATTGTGAATTTTCACCCAAAATATCCACGCTGGTAAAGTCTCTACTAGTTTTCGAATTTGGCTAATTTATCCTACGGAGCCTGCGATAGCTGATTTCTAAAAATTCTCTAACTCAGCTGTATTCACAGGCAGTTCGGCTATTTTAACCTTAATTTTTCTATTCTGATTTTAATTTGCTAAAAAAAATAGGTTCAAGTAAATAAGTCCCTAAATGAATAACCTTGATAATGTTTTGTGAACAAACCATACAACCGAATATCCCAGCCAGCTCCTTATCAGCGAATTTAATCTAACCCTGTACATGCACACGAGGCGTGTGTTCTTCGTTGGACGGCTTAAATAGCTAAATCAAATTACAACAATTATCCTTTCTAAACTCTCACAACCTGTTTTCTGTAACTTGTGATGTTTGTCGCAAAAAAAAAAAAAAAAGCATTCTGGGTCCAGACATCTATTCGCAAAAAAAATTAACCAATAAAAGAATAAAAATGTCCTTCTTCTATGATAGAATTCCAAATTTTTTTTTTAATAAATCAGACTTTTTATAAACCCCTACATCTTGCAAAGCTTCAGACACTTATTTAATATTCAAACAAAAAAAGAAAATAATGATAATTCAATACGTCTTCAAAATGAAAATTGAGCTGCATGCTATAGGGTTAAATCGTTCTATTCTATCTTGAAGCTTAAAAGCTCACCTGCCTGGTTAGAATGGGATAGTGCTATTTTATAGCTAATAGCATTTCTGCAAGTTGGACTAGGCAAATTTGTATTTAAAGAATAAATGTTGTTGTTTTTTTTTTTTTATCCCTTTTAACTCTTCCCAGACATCTGTTGTAGAATAATTCTACGACTGCACATTAAGCATTGAGGGTAAACATGAATCTCTCTTAATAGATCTGATGAAGACTTATTCGTAGATGGATGGTCAACAAGTAAAAACAGTCCCATTCACCGGCGTGTGTAAGAGGTGTGCTGGAGTGCGCAAGGGGTGTGTCTCTCTCCCAGGCACACCATAATGCAGAGCCGAATTCTTCTCCATCTTTGCTATTTCGGTTGTTATATTCATTTTTTGTGTGACATGTTCTCTGGTTAAATACATAAATCATTAAAATTATAACACATTTTCAAGATGTGTTGTTGTATATTAATCTTTATGATGGTATTTTTTAAGTAACGTTTAGATGGCAATTTAAAATGAGTTAAGTTTTAGACTTATTTGTCGAAATCACTTTATCAAAATCATAATAATAATTAAAAAAAAAAATTCAAGAAATTAATTTATTGACTGGGCTCCGATAAATAAATATGAACCTTAAGTCGTATTCTTAACATCCGGTGACTACAACCCAAAAAACCCCAAAACAAAATAAAACCAGAAACACACCGCCGAGTTAAAACCACTTTAATATCCTGATAAGACGACCGTCCAATTACCCACGTAGCTCTATGAAATCAAGTCTTGCTGCGAAATAGATTTACGCTTTACATTTAAACAATAATAACAATGCCATTTTTTTAAATATAATTTTTTAATAATTGATTTGTTGTATCGGACACGGTAGGTATAATTTCAATTATCCACATGTTGCAGCGCTTGGGTTAAGCCATGTGATTTCGAGTCGCTACAGATGGCCGCAGGGTACAATAAAAGTAAAACACACATGGATCTTTTAGCCGGTTAATAAAGTCTGTTTATGAAGGGCAGCCTGATGCTGTAATTTGCTTTAAAATACCCCATGTACCTCATTCTGCCTAGCAACCCTGATCCTGCTATTCTACTCTGTCCCCTTTCTACAAATGTGTGCAAATGTACAATTTCAGGTGGGTGGAAAGCCACCAGCTGGTGTTGTTTCAATACAGGTTAATAAATCCATGCGTTACCCTTCCCCCTTGCACCCCCTCCACCCATGACATTCACCCATATTTTTTTTTTTATTTAAAGAGCCTCCAGCCCTGTTCTAGCCCATCAGGCTTAGATTAACAAAAGGCCAGATAACTGCTTTGCATAAAAAACAGGCCTACAGCTGCTGGAAAGGTGGCCTAAATGTGATCAACTCCTCCTCCCCATTCCTCCCCCCCCCCCTCCTATGTCAATATTTGCTCTGAGCCAACGCACCTAAGTGACAGGTGTGCTGAGGAGAGCCTCCTTTCCATTTATCCCAAAAAGCCAATATCCTTTCTGAGGATATGTGTGGTCCTTATGCATGCATGTATGTACACCTGAGTATGTATATGGATGTTTTCTTGTCCACTGATAAATTAGAAAGATGCAGCAGGCTGGGAGGGGGTGGGGGGAGAGATCATTATAAAGCCCCAATCTCTGGCTTCACTCCACATCTAGCCAGGAACTGGAAGACAGCTGCTGTACCTGGGGAATGACTGCCAACGTGTCACTGCATTGAAGCAGAACTGCCGACACTTAGCACATAGAGGGAGAGGCACAGGTGACTTAGTACCTGAGTCGACAGGTATGTCTGCAAGGAAAGACACGCACACAAAATCGACACAGATGGCAGAGCCCAACTTTCTACCTGCTACACAGGGGCACAGCAGCACCTACCTTCCTAGATGGGCAGGATGATGCACAGCACCCACCTTCCTGCTTGAACATTTAATTATTTTCCCACCTGGGCACAGAGAAGCAAGTCTCTTCTATGCTGAAGATCACGCACCCACCTGCTCACCTGGGCACAGAGAAGCAAGTCTCTTCTATGCTGAAGATCACCCACCCACCTGCTCATCTGGGCATGGAGAAGCATTTCTCATCTATGTAGAGCATCAGCTACCTGTTCACCTGAGAAAAGAAAAAGAGCCTCTTGGACTGCGCCAAATGGGCACAGAGAGGCGGAGAAGCAGGAATGTTACTACCTGGCCACAGAGACAGAGAACTGCACACCTTGCAACCTGGGCACAGAGAATCAAGCCTCGTCCATGCTAAACCCACATTTGCCCAGAAATCAGAAAGGCATGTACCTTGTATCCTGGGCACAGAGATTCTGAGTAGCAGGCATGTTCCTACTGGACACAGAGTGGCTTAGATTCAGGTATGTGCTAGCTTGGCACAGGCTGGCTTAGAAGCAGGTATGTCCCTACTGGACACAGACTGGCTTAGATAAGGTAGGTCCTAGCTTGGCACACAGTGGCTTTGGAAGCAGGTATGTTCCTACTGGGCACAGACTGGCTTAGATAAGGTAGGTCCTAGCTTGGCACACAGTGGCTTTGGAAGCAGGTATGTTCCTACTGGGCACAGACTGGCTTAGATAAGGTAGGTCCTAGCTTGGCACACAGTGACTTAGAAGCAGGTATGTTCCTACTGGGCACAGACTGGCTTAGATAAGGTAGGTCCTAGCTTGGCACACAGTGGCTTTGGAAGCAGTTATGTTCCTACTGGGCACAGACTGGCTTAGATAAGGTAGGTCCTAGCTTGGCACACAGTGACTTAGAAGCAGGTATGTTCCTACTGGGCACAGACTGGCTTAGATAAGGTAGGTCCTAGCTTGGCACACAGTGGCTTAGAAGCAGGTATGTTCCTACTGGGCACAGACTGGCTTAGATAAGGTAGGTCCTAGCTTGGCACACAGTGGCTTTGGAAGCAGGTATGTTCCTACTGGGCACAGACTGGCTTAGATAAGGTAGGTCCTAGCTTGGCACACAGTGACTTAGAAGCAGGTATGTTCCTACTGGGCACAGACTGGCTTAGGTAAGGTAGGTCCTAGCTTGGCACACAGTGGCTTAGAGCAGGTATGTTCCTACTGGGAACAGACTGGTTTAGATAAGGTAGGTCCTAGCTTGGCACACAGTTGCTTAGAAGCAGGTATGTTCCTACTGGGCACAGGCTGGTTTAGAAGCAGGTATGTTTCTACCTTGGTCACAGTGGCTTAGATTCAGGTATGATTCTTTGTGGCCACAGACAGATGGAGACGCAGGTATATTTGTACTGGAGGTACATAGAGGCTGAAAGGTATATTCCTACCTGGGCACATGTAGAGAGAAACAGTTGTAACTACACACCAGGACAGAGAGATAGCGATAAGTAGGTATCTTCCTGTGTCACCCTAGAGATAAATATGCATTTCACAAGAATACACAAAGAGAAGAGCCATATATTAATATGATATATTAATTAATTATAATATATTTATTTTGCATACTTGAAGGGAAGTAGAGATACTTTACTTTCTTGGCTCTCATTGACCTAGACATACCTAATATCCTGATCATGTATGGGCACAAAAATTTAACGAACATATATGGGCACAATGATATCCTGAACATATATGGGCACAATGATATCCTGAACATGTATGGGCACACTGATATCACGAACATGTATGGGCACAATGATATCCTGAACATGTATGGGCACAATGATATCCTGAACATGTATGGGCCACTAATATCACGAACATGTATGCGCACACTGATATCCTGATCATGTATGGGCACACTGATATCGCGAACATGTATGGGCCACTAATATCACAAACATGTATGGGCACACTAATATTCTGAACATTTATGGAAACATTGATATCACTATCACGTATGACCCAGTGATATCCTGATCACGTATGCGCACACTGATATCCTGATCATGTATGGGCACACTGATATCCTGATCATGTATGGGCACACTGATATCACAAACATGTATGGGCCACTGATATCTTGAACATGTATGGGCACACTAATATCACTAACATGTATAGGCCACTAATACCCTGAACATGTATGGGCCACTAATATCACTAACATGTATGGGCCACTTATATCACAAACAAGTATGGGCACACTAATATTCTGTACATGTATGGGCACACGATAGAGCTATAATAATCCCATTCTCTGTGTATACAGGATAGAGCGATAATAATCCCATTCTCTGTGTATACAGGATAGAGCGATAATAATCCCATTCTCTGTGTATACAGGATAGAGTGATAATAATCCCATTCTCTGTGTATACAGGATAGAGCGATAATAATCCCATTCTCTGTGTATACAGGATAGAGCCATAATAATCCCATTCTCTGTGTATACAGGATAGAGCCATAATAATCCCATTCTCTGTGTATACAGGGCAATATACCTATCTTCTCCCCCTCATAGTAGATTGTTAATTCCCAAGCCTATGACTCTTTATCCTTTTGTAGCAGGATGTAGTTTCTTGTATACAACTTTGTGTAATCTTTGTTAAAGGGGCAGTCTAAGCATTATAATCACTGCGTGCCATTACAGTGGTTGTGGTGATAGTTGGCAGCAGGTGATGATTCCGTGGTTCTGAGTCAAACTGTTAACCAAAACAGGGGTTCCCCGAGGCCACGATCCCTGGATTGCTAATACTCAATGTGTCTATTTAGATGGCAGTGATAGGCTGAGTGCGTCCAGGTGCTAATTATAACATTTAGAGGGCCCTTTGTTACATTACTGATACATTCCTCTGTGGAATTTTCTAACATTCTAAAAAAATTATTAAACAAAATAATAACAAATGAAGTGTGCTGTAGAGAAAAACATCTATAGGTCCTTAACTTTTTTTTTTATATTTTATAATTATTTTAATTATAATGTACAAACATATACGACAGCAATGTATGTACACTCCAGAATGAAATAATTATTATTGTATAAATCGCAGGGGCACACACACTGTATGCGGTGTATGTTGCTGTGGGTTATTATATATTAGACGTTGTCCTTTACACTTAATTCTTGTAAAATACTTTTTTTCTTAACCCTGTCATTGCCAGAAGGTCTTTTGCCTGCATTCTCTTCCAGTAATTCTATTCATTGCTACCTGGTAATTAATTTAAGGGAAGGATTAACTCTTGTAATCTCTAATGTTGTGTAACATCAACACACCTTTTATTTTCAGGTACGTTGAAAAAATGGTGGAGGCCCATCTGTAAACTGATGTACATGCGCTGTGCTCCTAGGATTTTGGGAGAGCAGAGGAGGATCAATGAGGATCAATGGTATCACCGCCAGGCTCTCAGCACCCGCGCAGTCACCCACTCAGACCCCTCTGCTCCCGTTTAACGTCGAGCCAGACGTACAATGCCTGATGTCTAAGTTTTGTTCGTTCGGCTCGCGTTATGCAGGTTCAGCTTGTCTGCAAAGTGACTGCTGAGATCATTTTACCTCTAAGCCTCCCCATAGCCATAGACAATGCTCTCTAGACTGTACCACTGCTCCCCAGCCTGTTCCCCTGCTCCTCATTCTATATCCCTGCTTCTCAAAACTAGCATTCCGGCAACATTCCTGCTCTGTATCCTACACACCTGTCCAGCACTACCTGCTCTGTATCCTGCACACCTGTCCACCACTCCCGGCTTTATATCCTGTCCACCTGTCCACCACTCCCGGCTTTATATCCTGTACACCTGTCCAACACTACCTGCTCTGTATCCTGTACACCTGTACACCTGTCCAACACTACCTGCTCTATATCCTGCACACCTGTCCAACACTCCCTGCTCTATATCCTGTACACTTGTCCAACACTACCTGCTCTGTATCCTGTACACCTGTCCAACACTACCTGCTCTGTATCCTGTACACCTGCCCAACACTACCTGCTCTGTATTCTATACACCTGCCCAACACTACCTGCTCTATATCCTGTACACCTATCCAACACTACCTGCTCTGTATTCTGTACACCTGTCCAACACTACCTGCTCTGTATCCTGTACACCTGTCCAACACTACCTGCTCTGTATTCTATACACCTGCCCAACAATACCTGCTCTGTATCCTGTACACCTGCCCAACACTACCTGCTCTGTATTCTGTACACCTGCCCAACACTACCTGCTCTATATCCTGTACACCTGCCCAACACTACCTGCCCTATTAGTGGATATTGTGCATGCTGCTGGCATTTTCTAAACTGGCCCCCTTTTACCTGTCTCTGCATGCTCTACAGCTTGAAATAATTCCCTGTCATTTAACTGTCAGCATAGGACTTAATACCTTGCACTGGATTGTGGGTTTATTGCAAAATAACATTTTTTTTCAATTCCTTCTTTAACTAGATTTAACCTGATTTCATCCTAATATTTACTTCTCCCAAAATGAGACCAGATCACCCGGGGTGTCAAACAAAACTGTCCCGGGAACAGGAACAATGAAGACAATGGGAACAATGTAATGTGATAACAGCAACGTACCAAGAACGTCCAAAAATATTATATAAAAGGAAGGGATTTATGCAAAAAAGAGGAAGAGTGGGTGTATTGTCGCACTAAGGGCAAAAGTAACTTTACAACTTAGACAGAATGCGGAACTTTTACTTTATCTTTACTGCAAGAAGCTAAATTATTATTTGTATGTATGTATTTATTTATTTAAAGAATGAATCTACCCAAGTTTTGGATTTTTTTTACGGTTACCGTGACATTTTCTTGGACGTACATTTCTTCATATTGATGGGCTGTTGGGCAGCACATGAAAGATGCTGTATATACAATATACAATGATTTAACTTCCTGTCTGATTTTGCCTATCAATACGTATTATTTGTCTGAAACATGGTGGATATAGTAACATTATATGTTGTATCCTGTTTGCGGTTAATTAGAAAGCTGAGATCTGAGCCGCTTCCTGTGAGACGTCACTATGAGTAACCGTGAGAAGTGAGTATGGTTTATGTTTGCATGTAATTCTTTTTTTTGCATTTTAAAGCACCATCCAAACCATTCTTTAAAAAGGTGGCCCAACTACACATGACCTTTGCTTTTAACCTTTATTTTCCTATTTTTATAAAAAAAATTTAAACGTTCTTTATTTTTGCACAAATCGGGTAAATACAGGCACAAACATGATGTCACAACAGCTTATGCAAGTAAATACACAAATGTATTCATGTGATGGCATGACAGTGATATACATGTAAAATTGTTATTATACTGTCTAAGTCATTGCATTTTCCTTTTGATATCGACAAACATTCTATTATGATGGTACAGGTCCATCGACCCATCCTTTAAATTCAGTTACAATGTGTACACTAGATACGCTGCAGAATCTCGATTTCATTCCCAGCTAAGTCTTGCACCATTCTGAGGTCAGTAAAACAAGAACCATTAAACTGGCTCTGGACTGGGGGGTTCACGGAATTTGTTGACAAGCTAGATGTACATTTCATGGCTAAATACTTTACATATTATTATTATTACATATTATTATTATTTAAATGCTGCAGGTCAATTGAAACCTGACTCAGTGGCAAAACCTGCACTAAACTACACTGTTTTTATTTGCTAGATTTTGGGTAATATCTCCCAGATACACCGTGATCTGGTGATAGCACTTAAATGGTTAAAGTCAACATGGTCTGTAAACACATAATAGAATGATCCTTCCATTATAGCTATCCCCCTTATGCTCCTAATGAATTGGACGTGGCCTCTGTCTTTACACATTACGTTCTTAAAATTGTCATCTGTTTTGCAACATAATTAAGTCAAGCAGTCATATGGCGACACCATGTATTTAGCCGCCATCTCCGTGCAGATACGTATCTACCCTTAGCGATCCCTTCTATAATTACACCAACTATAAGCCTTTTATCCGCGGTTCCCTATTTAAACACAATTAATCATGAAAAAAATAAAATGTCCTCCCGTTTTTTAAATTATTTGAAACAGGGGAGCATTTATTATTATTTAACAAAATATTGTAGTTACTTTTCTATTAATGAGTCAATGCCCCATCTTAATACATGTAAAACCAAATAGAAAACTTCCATATCGTAAAGTGTGTCTGTTTATTTTTACCGTCCTGTTTTGGCGCAGAGGATGTTTTAACTAAATATTGAACTGTCAATTGACCGAATAGAGCTTTTAGAAGTGAACCCAAAAAAAAATTTGCTTTTGAGAAAAATATTATTTTAATTTAATTAAGTAGTGTTGTGATCTGCTGGGTGGATCTGTTTAAAGGAACATTTTAGTGTTAGGAATACCTAACAAAATGTCCCTCTGCTCTGAAACAGTTAAAAAAAAACCATTTCATTCACTTACCTGATTCCAACAACGATGTCTATAACAGAACAGAATATAACACTATAACACAGAAACATAGAATGTGACGGCAGATAAGAACCATTCGGCCCATCTAGTCTGCCCAATTTTCTAAATACTTTCATTAGTCCCTGGCCTTATCTTATAGTTAGGATAACCTTATGCTTATCCCATGCATGCTTAAACTCTTAATGTGTTAACCTCTACCACTTCAGCTGGAAGTTGCTTCCCTTTATATTTCATATTTCAATGACTATTCCATCATATCCCCCCTATGCAGCCCTCACCACAGTTTGACCCCGCCCCTGCCGCATGTTAAGCCCCACCCCTGACACAAAAAATCGTGGTGGAGAATTCATTATTTTCCACCAAGGATTATTAAAAAACAAACACATTTCCCTTGATACAGTCCATACACACACACACACACAGACTGCTGACCCCTTACACACAGAGACACACAGACTGCTGACCACACACACACATAGACACACAGACTGCTGAGTCCATACAAACACAGACACATAGACTGCCACACACACACACACACAGACTGCTGAGTCCATACACACACATACACAGACTGCTGAGTCCATACACACACAAACACAGACTGCTGAGTCCATACACACAGACTGCTGAGTCCTCACACAGTGCTGAGCCCATACACACACACAGTCATACACACATACACACAAACACAGACTGCTGAGTCACACACACACGCAGACTGAGTCCATACACACAGACAGACTGCTGAGTCCATACCAGACAGGCTGCTGAGTCCATACACACAGTGCTGAGTCCATACACACAGACAGACTGCTGAGTGCACACACACACACACACACACAGATTGCGAGTCCACACACACAAACACACAGACTGCTGAGTCCATACACACAGACTGCTGAGTCCATACACACAGACACACTGCTGAGTTCATACACACACACTGCTGAGGCAATACACACACACTGCTGAGTCCATACACACAGGAAGACTGCTGAGTCCATATACACACAGTGCTGAGTCCATGCACACACACTGCTGAGTCCATACACACATACACACAAAAACACACAGACTGCTGAGTCTATACACACACACACACACACACAAACACAAACTGCTGAGTCCATACACACAGACAGACTGCTGAGTCCATACACACACACTGCTGAGTCCATGCACACAGACAGACTGCTGAGTCAATACACACATACTGCTGAGTTCATACACACAGACAGACTGCTGAGTCCATACACACAGACAGGCTGCTGAGTTCATACACACACACTGCCGAGTCCATACACACAGACAGACTGCTGAGTCCATACACATACAGTGCTGAGTCCATACACACAGACAGACTGCTGAGTCCATACACACACAGTGCTGAGTTCATACACACACACTGCTGAGTCCATACACACACACTGCTGAGTTCATACACACATACAGACTGCTGAGTCCATACACACACACTGCTGAGTTCATACACACACACACTGCTGAGTCCATACACACAGACAGACTGCTGAATCCATACACACACTGCTGAGTCCATACACACAGACAGACTGCTGAGTCCATACATACACACACACACAGACTGCTGAGACCATACACACACACAGACTGCTGAGTCCACACACAGACTGCTGAGTCCACACACAGACACAGACTGCTAGTCCATACACACACACACTGCTGAGTCCATACACCCACACACAGACTGGTGAGTCCATACACACACACAGCCAGCTGAGTCCTTACACACACAGTGCTGAGTCCATACACACACACACGGACTGACTGCTGAGTCCATACACACACAGACTGCTGAGTCCACACACACACACACACACACACAGACTGCTGAGTCCATACACACACACAGACTGCTGAGTCCATACACACACACTGCTGAGTCCATACACACACACACACAGACTGCTGAGTCCATACACACACACACACAGACTGCTGAGTCCTTACACACACAGTGCTGAATCCATACACACACACACACACATACACACACACAGACTGCTTCAGACTGCTGAGTCCATTCCATACACACACACACTGCTGGGTCCATACACACACACACACACACACACTGCTGAGTCCATCCATACACACACACAGACTGCTGAGTCCATACACACACACTGAGTCCTTACACACACAGTGCTGAGTCCATACACACACACAGACTGCTGAGTCCATACACACACACACACACACACACACTGCTGAGTTCATACACACACACACACACTGCTGAGTCCATACACACACACACTGCTGAGTTCATAAACACACACACACTGCTGAGTCCATACACACACACACAAGCTTCCTCACTAGCAGACAGACAGACACAGACACACACACACACCTGAGCATATCAAGCCTACCTGTTGCTGGGGGTCAAACAGCCATCTTCTTGCCTTTCCAGCAGCAGCATGGTCTGCGGCTTAACGGTGGGGCGGGGCTTATGTGAAGGAGGTGGGGCTTTGTTTGGGGGTGGGGCCTTGCAGGGGAACCTGTCAGTGCTCCCTCTGGCCACAGACAGCCCCCAGCACCGTTCCAGCTGAGCTCCTCTGCCCTGCATTCCCTCCCCCGGGCTGTAACACACTCACACACTGTTACAGCCCGAGGGAATAGAATGTAAGAACATGTTGCTGGTATTTGGGGGGCCCCCTTAGCGACTCCACTGCCTCCAAGCTATACATGTTAAGAAACTTTAACCTTTCATTGTAAGTTTTATCCTGCAATCCATGAACCAGTTTAGTAGCCCTTCTCTGAACCCTCTCTAAGGTATCAATATCCTTCTGAAGATACGGTCTCCAGTACTGTGTACAATACTCCAAGTGAGGTCTCACCAGTGTTCTGTACTCTTTCTACTGCTAATACCTCTCCCTATACAACCAAGCATTCTGCTAGCATTTCCTGCTGCTCTAAGTTTTACCTTGCAGGACGAAGTGGGACAGGGACACTGCACCCAGACCACTGTAATGAGATGATGTGATCTTGATGCCTATAGTGTCCCTTTAAACTCATCATTGAGGGCTGCTACTAATGTACAGAGATGCATTCAGGTGTTAAAGAGTAAATTAATGTTTTGAGAATATCCGTGGAAACCAGGTATGTAACCGGACAATGCTATTTTTTATATGAATAAAATGTGATATTTAAAAAAATAAAAAGAAGTTTGTTTTCTGTCCCATAATACATTACACACATCTCTTTCTAAAATCTCTTTCACTGTGTCCTAATTCGATTTAATTAATTGTAAATGCTGAATGTGATCCGAAGTTTGATCCCTGGGTATCCGATGCAGTATTTATATTCCATGGCTTCCCTTGAGAACATGCTGTATTTATTAAAAGTGTACCTGCATCCCATGCATCCAAAAACATTACAATGTCGTAGTCACACACAATGAACCATTCATATTTCAGTTCCATCATTGAAATATTACTAAAACTATATACCGAATGATGCTGTCAGCGGTTTGGAAGGATCTTTTCTGAGTAATCGGTAGAAATCAACGTTTGCTCAGTGAGAGCAGTATTTTCTCACGGCTTATATCCTATTTATGATCATCTGCAGATATTGGCTATACATCATGACAAATGTTCAGATTACGGATTCATTGTTGACTAAAAGGTTGCTAACTCTGGGTGAATTTCTGTGTATATAAATTATTTATAAACCTTACCTCGATTAACAAAAAAAACAACAACAAAAAAGAATGAGGTTTTAAATAATTTGTTTTCTGAGATGCAGATGATACATATACACAGCATCAGGTTTCCAAGTCATGAGATGTTTAACGAGCCAATCACAGTGGAGAAAACTCACCAGTTTACCCCGTGTGCCCATCTTAACTAATACAAAAGTAGTGCTATGTAGCTTGGGCCGACGCAAGTCACAGAGATTTTATACATCTGATCTTAATAAATTAATGACAATTGGGGGAAATTTAGAATTCAATTTGAACAAAAGAATATCCGATACACAGACAACCATGAACACTACAAACTCCGTAATGTTACATTATTCATGAATTCATTTATTTATCAGCTCTCGTATAGTGCTCTTTACAAGAACATTGGTGATTATACAGAATATAGACAGACAACATACACAAAGTGATACAAAGTAAAATTATATATTTTTTGTTTTATAAAATTCAATACATTTCTAAAATAGGCTTTGATTTAATATTGTTTGATAAGCTTTTCAAATGATTTCATATTTTTGGATTCATTTTTAAATGGCTTGATTGTAATTTAATTTATTGATAAAGTATTTTACCAGCAAGGATACATTGAGATTTCTCTTGTTTTCAATGATGTCCTGGGCCCACAAACATGGCATCGTTACAATAGGATACAATATTACAAAAATAATAATAATACAATATACACATTTACACATATATAAATGTAACACTTAATAGATAATAAATATAGTAACCAAGACAAGTGCATTCTGTATTGAGGTATTTTGCCATAGATCTCTTAAAGGACCACTATAGTGCCAGGAAATCATACTCGTTTTTCCTCAGGGTCCCCCTCCCGCCCGGCTCTGGAAGGGGGAAAGGGGTTTAAACTTACCTTTTTCCAGCGCTGGGTGGGGAGCTCTCTGCCTCCGATCCTCCTCTTCTCCTCCCCGTCGGCTGAATGCGCACGCGCGGCAAGAGCTGGGCACGCATTCAGCCGGTCAATTATCAATGCTTTCCTATGGACGCTTGCGTGCTCTCACTGTGATTTTCACAGTGAGAAACACGCAAGCGCCTCTAGCAGCTGTCAATGAGACAGCCGCTAGAGGCTTTGGGGGAAGGCTTAACCCATTCATAAACATAGCAGTTTCTCTGAAACTGCTATGTTTATAAAAGAATGAGTTAAGCCTAGCTGGACCTGGCACCCAGACCACTTCATTAAGCTGAAGTGGTCTGGGTGCCTAGAGTGGTCCTTTAAAGGATTTTAGATAGAATAAAGATTTGACTGTCCCTGAGGTTATTCCATAATTATAGAGAATTAATAACTGAATCCAAAATAACTGAATTTGAAAAATACACATAATTTGGAGATTTGTTTTTTTTTTCTATTTGGCTATTTTGATCAGAAAATTGGTATGTCCCACGTCATTGCCCGACAACTTCCATTTTAATGAACAATCCCCAGCAGACCTAACATAACATACTGTGCCCAGCTGTGGAGGTCCTTGGATGGGGCAGGTGGCACTCCAGATGTTGTTGTATGGGAGATATAGTCCACAACACCTGGAGTCCTGAATGAGTCCTGCCTCTGTCCGGCATAGAAAAGACACGAGGTGGTCTCATACTGAGAGGTTCTGAAAACTATCATAATATATATACCGTTTGGTAGAACAATAGGCTGTACAACAAATGCAAAGAATGGGCACGCAGCATGCTGCTAATAGACATTATAATAAACCGGTGATCTTATCAGCTTATCGGGAGGTTCCAATCCTCATTTAATTAAGGCAAAAATAGTAACTAAGGTCGAAAGGGGACACACAACGCTCACCAGTAACAAATATACTTTATTGAACCGGAAAAAATCCAGGGAATGGGTTGGGGGGAGGGGGAGAGCAGCTAGAAAGAGAAAGCCTGACGCGTTTCACTATTTACTTAGTCCTTACTATTTGCAGCCAGAATAAAAGTAATCGGAAATATGAACTCAGCCCCTCGTATAGCCAGACATGGCAACCTGAAGGAGATTTCCCTTTTTAATGCGTTATATAGATAATACAATAATACATTTAAATACGGTAACAAAAAAACATAAATATTGAAAAAAAAATTTAAATACCCATTTTTGGTGTTCCTAGATTTGTGGCAGTTGACTTTCACCAAACCAGGAGGCAAATAACGATTTTGAGCCAATCATGGTGCTCCCATTGTATTCTAAGGGGGGAACTAAGAATATCCCATAAACCCAGCACACAGGTCATGTGATATCCCACAGATCCAGCACACAGGTCATGTGATATCCCATAAACCCAGCACACATATCATGTGATATCACACAAACCCAGCACACAGGTCATGTGATATCCCATAAATCCAGCACACACGTCATGTGATACGTTCTTGATTGCCAGGCAGCAAATGCATTGAAATAATAACGTCTACTTGTGCTAAGATGGATCGAATCTTACTTCTTTGAAATTCTAACTTGAAAGAATGTGTGTGTGGCCAGGGGGCTATTGCAGAACATTTTAGATAAATTATTTACTGATGACTTAGGTTATTTAAAATGTATTAATATGAGAACAATGAATCTTATTTACACAGACTGATTCCTAAACACATTTATTGTAGTTTAAAGACACATTACTGGGAGTATTATTACTGTAGAGCTCTGTTATACACTCAGTCCCATTACTGGGAGTATTATTGCTGTGGGGCTCTGTTATACACTCAGATACATTACTGGGAGTATTATTGCTGTGGGGCTCTGTTATACACTCAGACACATTACTGGGAGTATTATTGCTGTGGTGCTCTGTTATACACTCAGATACATTACTGGGAGTATTAGTGCTGTGGAGCTCTGTTATACACTCAGATACATTACTGGGAGTATTAGTGCTGTGGAGCTCTGTTATACACTCAGACACATTACTGGGAGTATTAGTGCTGTGGAGCTCTGTTATACACTCAGACACATTACTGGGAGTATTAGGCTCTGTTATACACTCAGACACATTACTGGGAGTATTATTGCTGTGGGGCTCTGTTATACACTCAGATACATTACTGGGAGTATTATTGCTGTGGAGCTCTGTTATACACTCAGACACATTACTGGGAGTATTATTACTGTGGAGCTCTGTTATACACTCAGACACATTACTGGGAATATTATTGCTGTGGAGCTCTGTTATACACTCAGACACATTACTGGGAGTATTATTGCTGTGGAGCTCTGTTATACACTCAGACACATTACTGGGAGTATGATTGCTGTGGAGCTCTGTTATACACTCAGACACATTACTGGGAGTATGATTGCCGTGGAGCTCTGTTATACACTCAGACACATTACTGGGAGTATCATTGCTGTGGAGCTCTGTTATACACTCAGACAAATTACTGGGAGTATTATTGCTGTGGAGCTCTGTTATACACTCAGACACATTACTGGGAGTATTATTACTGTGGAGCTCTGTTATACACTCAGACACCTTACTGGGAGTATTGTTGCTGTGGAGCTCTGTTATACACTCAGACACATTACTGGGAGTATTATTGCTGTGGAGCTCTGTTATACACTAAGACACATTACTGGGAGTATTATTGCTGTGGAGCTCTGTTATACACTCAGACACATTACTGGGAGTATTATTGCTGTGGAGCTCTGTTATACACTCAGACACATTACTGGGAGTATTATTGCTGTGGAGCTCTGTTATACACTCAGACACATTACTGGGAGTATTATTGCTGTGGAGCTCTGTTATACACTCAGACACATTACTGGGAGTATTATTGCTGTGGAGCTCTGTTATACACTCAGACACATTACTGGGAGTATTATTGCTGTGGAGCTCTGTTATACACTCAGACACATTACTGGGAGTATTATTGCTGTGGAGCTCTGTTATACACTCAGACAAATTACTGGGAGTATTAGTGCTGTGGAGCTCTGTTATACACTCAGACAAATTACTGGGAGTATTATTGCTGTGGAGCTCTGTTATACACTCAGACACATTACTGGGAGTATTATTGCTGTGGAGCTCTGTTATACACTCAGACACATTACTGGGAGTATTATTGCTGTGGAGCTCTGTTATACACTCAGACACATTACTGGGAGTATTATTGCTTGGAGCTCTGTTATACACTCAGACACATTACTGGGAGTATTATTGCTGTGGAGCTCTGTTATACACTCAGACACATTACTGGGAGTATTATTGCTGTGGAGCTCTGTTATACACTCAGACACATTACTGGGAGTATTATTGCTGTGGAGCTCTGTTATACACTCAGACACATTACTGGGAGTATTATTGCTGCGGGGCTCTGTTATACACTCAGACACATTACTGGGAGTATTATTGCTGTGGGGCTCTGTTATACACTCAGACACATTACTGGGAGTATTAGTTGCTGTGGGGCTCTGTTATACACTCAGACACATTACTGGGAGTATTAGTGCTGTGG